TTTATTTATGACCTCTTTTTGTCGAGGATAGGAACTTCTATTCATCTCTCTCTCTCTCTCTCTCTCTCTCTCTCTCTCTCTCTTCACATCTCTAGTGCTAATGATATCGAATACTCTATGATCCAATGACCTGAAATAAGTGCTATTGCTAAGCCCACAGTTTGGATTGCATGCATGGAATTCCAAGTGAGTGGATGCTTCCTTTTGATGCCTTCTGCATTGCCACCCATCAAACTAAAAGTTGCGAGAAGAAAAAGGCAACAAAACAGGTACATTTTGGGCATTCCAAAGATGGTTTTGTGGTCCACTTTATATTCATTAAAGTTAATTAATTGGATCATTAATCAAACTTTTCATCTCAAAGCAAGAAGACTGCGTGGTCCTAATCAATTAACAACTCAAAAAAAGTGAGGAACCAAAATATTTTCTGTCTTAATTCTCCTTTTCTTTAAAAAAAAATTGTGTTGTTGGGGAACATTTCTTTCTTTTCGGAATTCCCGAAAACAAATGATTCCGACCTCTTTTTTTTTATTAAGAAAATTACACATGTATATATCTTTGAAATCAGTGGTTTTTGTATTTATCTATGTAAAATTTTACTTTAACATATGCAGCTTATACAATATTGCCTTTATAAACTAATAATGACACTAAAAATCTTATGGGAGATTTAGGTTTTTGTATTTATATTTTTTTTAACTCAAATGTGAATCACAATGACATATGTGGAGGAGGGCTTAATATTTGGATGAAAAGTGTACTACAATAAAAATTACAATGATAAATATGTTATTTTTATGTAAAATCTCTTTTTTTTAATCTTAGAATTACAAAAAGTTAAGATTGTGCCTTATAGTTGACCTCTGTATATATATATATATATATATATGAAATCAGCTGAGATCCATAATTAGCTCTATAAGAGTCCAATCCTACCAAGTTGAGCCTTGAGGAAGCCATTCTTGACTGCCATTCTCCTATCTTGAACAACATTAGGCATTCTATTAATCAAATTCATGATCATCTTCTTCTTCTTCATCATCATTATCACTAGTGGAACTCCCTTCCCCACATTGTCATTGTGATGGATAGAGTGAGGAGATTGGCATCACAAAAAGCTGTGGTCATCTTCTCCTTGAGCTCATATTGCATGTGTCCAAGAGAATGCCTAAACTTCCCCACTTCAAATTAAAATTATGATTTTGACTTGATTGAAAGCTACAAGTCCTACTGTCCCCAACATCCAAGAGAAAGGAAACATGAGGAAGTTTACCTTTTCCTCATATCTTATATTTTCCTACATCTACTTGGGGTAAAAAAGATGGGCCAAAAGGAGGAATATGAATCACCAACCCACCAGATCACTCACTCTTCTGGAATAATATATCCTTTGGAACCTTCATAGGCAATTAAGCAACAGAGCTACTCTCCCTTCCACCATTCTCAATCTTATGCTATTCTCCTTATCAACCCTCCAACTTTAGTCTTAAAGGTAAAGCCAAAGGTCACATCCCTATACCATAAACCATGTTATGCTAATTAATCAAACATCAAACAAGAAAGAGGATTTGGATTTCTTTCTTTTCTCTTGAGACATGCCCATTCATGAGTACTTGCCATGTATTCTAAATGTGCTTTCAAAAAAATTAGCTTTAAATGTTTACAAATTTAAAATTTTCATATGATGAAATGAACATTTGTTGTGTAGTGTCTATGTGTACTTGCATGGCCATCCATAAAATGTACAAACATAAATATATTTCATCCATATACATGATAAAAAAGAGAACATTTTAGGTCAGATGCTTCATCTATGTGTGTATCTTCTAAAATTCTTTTAACAACCTTTACCATTTAACAATAGTTCTATAACATCTGGAAATGATGTGGATCTAAGTGTTTCTGCTTTCAAAGTGGAGTAAGAAAATTCAGCATCAAGAAACACTTACCTGCATACTATTTAATTGTCAATCTTGAGTCATGGAAAGAAAAATTGCACTGGATAATTCATAATCACTAATGAATTTTATTGTATCTAAATACTTAGATTTCTCTTGAATACATACATATTGAAGCTGGGTTGCTACTTGAAGATGTGATGTCAAAAATACACTTACCACCAAAAATGGCTTAAAATTTATCCTCATAAATATATGTGTTGACAGGCCACCTTAAAAGTTCAATTTTTGGATTTTATTATTGTTCATTATTACATAATAATGGGGGATGTAAACATATTGTATTCCATCATCAATTTCATTTCCACAAGTCAAACATCTATTGTTTCTGTTATCTATATTTGATCATTGACAAAATATTGTTCAAAACCTATAATTTACAGATATTATTAACTAATGTTGAGCATATTGATTAAGTGAAATACCACAAGCTTATATGATAATACTTTGAATATAATAGAAAAGATAATTGGAATATAGGTTGTAGTTCCTTTTCTTTTAATTTTTTGCTAGCTTTGATATTATTCTTGATGATTATTCCAAGCTAATTGAACCATTCAATGTCAAAACTAGTTGGGTCCATCAAAAGGATATAATGGAATAGAAAATGTAGCTATCTTTTACTTATGAAATTAGTGATCTTCAAATTTATAAATTGAGTAAAAATAAGAATAACAAATAACAGATATTTTTATTTATTTATTTTTAATTATAGTTTTAAAAATATAGCATAAAAAATAATATATTTTTAGAATAGAAATATTTGTAGAAGGAACATCAACAAAATAATGTAGGAAACTAAAATTCTTTATCAATTATTGACGAATTTTTCTTTTTAAGTTTTATTTTATAAAAATAAAATAGAATTAGAGTCAAACTGTCCCTTAAAAGTCTATCATGGGTGCATTGGTGCATATACAATATTAAAGATCAAATATCTTTTTCAGAGTATTAAGTGAGTCTACAGATACATAATGTGAGACGAACCTACGAGAATGATCCAATTGATGATTAAGATCAATTAAGTTTTTCTTTGTTGGTGTAGAACTCATTATTTCTCTGATGTGAACTTTAATTAATCTCCTCATACACTTCCTATAAATATAAGAAACATTAAATCTTAATTTATAATAAAAACAGAAAATGTACTTACCCATTAGAAATTACCCATCTGCATACCCTCTTCGTGATTGCAGATTTAAGGGCCCCACTACGGGAGTTACATGAGATACGTGGAAGCGGTGAATCTGTTACCCACAGCTCTCTCTCTCTCTCTCTCTCTCTCTCTCTTCCCCTATATTTGGTTGCTGTCCATTTTTCTTACATCTCACACTCAGCTGACTTCTTTTGCCTCTCTCTCTCTCTCTCATGTAACTTAACGCAGGCCTCGCCATTAGGCTCCGCCCTCTTCTCTCTGTTTCGTTCCCCCCGTGGATTTTTGGCTCTGATCTGCTCCTCCACCGGCGAGATTTCGTGTAGCTCCGTCGGGATCGATCGGAGGACCGAGGAGGAGCCGTCGATCGAGCCGAAATTGTTGGATTTTGGGGGGGAATTTTTTCTTGGTTGTTCTTATTTATTGATGGGCTGTTTTACATGTTTTGGATCGCCCAGTCAGAGGGAGGAGGAGGAGGAGGTGAAGAAGAAGAGGAGAGAAGGAAAGGGTGGTGGGGATCGCAAGAGGGAGCCGTCGTCGCGTCGTGGCAGTTCCGGTAAGAAAGCTGGGATTTTTAATGGGAAAAATTGGTTTTTTATGGGTTTCTTATGGATCTAATGGGGATTCATCTGCTGCATTTCTGGGATGTCTTGATCGTTCGCTCTCTTATCCAGGATGTCTTGATGCGTGGAGCTCCTCTTTATGTTCTGGCTTCAGGAAATTTAACGTTTTTTGTTGGATAAACGCCAATAGATGTCAGGCCCACTATATGAGAAATAAAAGAAGAGAAAAAAACCAGAGATTTTATAGCTATTTGTGGCGCTCTTATTAGATGTTAGAGATCAGGCTCCTCTTTTTGGTACTACAATTTTCTTGCCATATGCATGGATCTCTCCCTCCTAAAGAGAAATATCTTTTTTCTGCCCAAAACATTAGGATGACAGTTTGTCATTAAATGATCGCGATCCAGGAAGATGAATGAGAAGCTCATGCATGTCACTGATCATGCCTAAACTTGTTTTCAAAGTAATGGGGCAGTCTTGGTTTTGAACAAACTATTACCAAAAATTGTCGAAGTCAAGAATTTTCTTTCGTCTCTTTTGGCTTCCCTATGTTTTGTTATTAGAGCAGATATAATACACCAGTCATGTTTTGGGATCAGAATATCTAATTTTCTTGTTTACTATCGTGGATTGCTTGTGGTGCTAGACAAACTGACGGCAAGGACCGGTTCAGACTCCAAAAAGGAAGCATCGGCTTCCAAAGAAGGCAATGCTGGGCATATTGCAGCACAGACATTCACTTTCCGTGAGCTTGCTGCTGCCACTAAGAACTTTAGACAAGATTGTCTTTTGGGTGAAGGTGGTTTTGGCCGTGTATATAGAGGAAGGTTGGAGAATGGACAGGTTAATTTTCTTCTTTTTTATAGTGTCCAGGATATCATTAGCTCATCTGACTAGTTTACCTCTAGTGTCTCTTGATTGCTTTAGTGAAATTGATGTATTATCAGGAGTTTGTCATGAGTCTAGAATTTCTGCTTAAAAAACATCCGCATATTTTATGTATGTTAAGAAATTATGGTCTCTGCCTATTGAGCATACAGCTGATGTAAACATTTGCAGGTAGTTGCTGTTAAACAACTTGACAGAAATGGTCTCCAGGGTAACAGGGAGTTTTTGGTTGAAGTTCTCATGCTTAGCCTCTTACATCACCCTAATCTTGTCAATCTCATTGGTTATTGTGCTGATGGTGATCAACGGCTGCTTGTCTATGAGTTTATGCGTTTGGGGTCATTAGAAGATCATTTACATGGTTAGATTGTTTTCTTGGCTTCTATTACTGATTCTAAAAACAGCTCTATTTTTAGTTTTCCTTAATTGCTGGAGTTGCAGTTCATCTACAGTTAGATATACAAACTAATAAATTAATTAGTTACAAGTATTCAGGATTACCCACATCAATGGTTATTATGTTATTACCTGTCATTATCATTAAGGACATGGTCACATTTTACTTAAATGAAGTAATTGTGGGGTGCAATGTGTTAAATGATGTTGGGTTCGGGAAGTTAGAAGTTATATTAACTCTAGAAAGTCCAAACCCTTCTTGAAGTTAATAGATTAAGACTGTACAAAAACATAAGTTCTCTCCATATCAGTTTTGTCTATTTTTTACCAGCCTCCAGATCTCAGCCACTCCTCTTCTATTGTCATTTTACATCGAGATCAGAAATGGTTAGCCCACAGCGACTAACCACCCCTGCAGGAAGAGAGAAAGCATCTAGCATATGGCACCCACGTACTAACAATTGCCCATGGATACAGAATAATGGGTGGAGATGCTAGATCCAGCATCAAAGGCAGAGCCAATGGGAAATGGTTCCATGATTATGAAAATAGAAACAATTAACAGACGTGGTACAATGTGCTTCATTGTAGTAGAGCAGTTGAGTTATATACCTCATCGGTTGTGATGTTGTACCTTTAAGGCCACCTTCTTTCTTTCAACCATTGGCTTTGAAGTCCTTCACTTTTGCTCTCTAACATTAGAGAGGAGTTGTGAATGATTTCTTCCTCATGCATCTGATATCAATAATTGAAGATCCAAGGATCATTGAACACAAGTATTTAGTTCACGGCCTATAAGGATCTGGAAAAACTGTAAATTTTTGTTGTGCCAATGTCACAACTCTTCATATTTATACTTGAAAACCTTTGTTTTTTGCAAGGAGTAAATTGTAAATTTGGATTTTGATCCTTTGACCTTGTTGAACAAGTGCTAGCCAGACTAGCTAGCACCTTCACAATCTTACATTGTTGATATCATTTGAAAAAAAAATACATCAAACATTTTTGAAAGGATAAATTTATTAGCCAGCTCCAAATATCTGATGTGCAACATTTTGTTGATTTTAGCTATTCTTTTCAAGCTGTTAAATTTTTATATTTGTTGGTACCTATAATTTTTCTGCGTTTGTCTTAATCTTTTTTGTATGAGATGGGGATCGGGATTGTTTAGCTTTCATTGTGATTCATTATTAGAATAATTACAAGTTGTTATTGTTTAGGGCATGTAATTATTTGCTTTGATTGAATAATATGTTTTGATATGCTTGTTATGTTTACAAATAAGGCCTTGGCATGGTTTCTTGCTCAAATTTGATAGATCTTTTTTAGTGTTTATTAGTCTTCCCTTAACGTGAAGAATATTGACTATTTTAAGTGTGCTGATTCCCATGTAACAACTTTTCTTTGTCCAATTCCAACTTGTTTTTCTTTTGTGTTCTATTTTCGTATTTTCTTAATGATACATCAGTGTTCTCTTTACCATGCATTGGAGAATCATCTTTAAGTGGTTGATATGACAAAGTTGAAAGAATCCAATGAGACACTTGTATGGATTATAATTATTGTTTCCTACAGACAAATAAAAAAAGATTACTCAAATAAGCGCTAGCCTAAACTAGTCAACAGAAAACATAGCATGTGCTTAAGTTTTAGATCCAATTTCTCACGTGTTATTTGTTTATTTCTTAATTTTAGACCCATGGGATCAATAATGCACATTCTTCCAGCTACTGAATTCTTAGCTAGTTTGCATTCACGTAACCCTTGCTTTGCTTAAATATGGATCATCTGAAGATTAAATTGGAATCTTTTATGTTGATTAACTTCATGCTTATGTTGGTAATCATATTTTTTGGACAAAGTAGCTAGCTTTGAATGATAGACCGTTTACCTTAATGGGATACCATGACTCGGAGTAAGTTTCTCATGATCCGTTTTCCTTTTTCTGAATGCATCTTCAGTATGTTATCTGCTACATCTTTGATATGAAGCTTTTAAACGTCGACTTTCTTTTATTCATTTGCAAGAACTACACAGATAAGATATGACCTCATGCCTGGAATTTTTACGATTTGGGAAGTGCCTCTCAAATTATCAATTGGAAAATTAAGCTACTAATCTTAGCTGACTATATTTCACAGAAAATAAAGAAAATATTCAAACATGATATTAACATCTTATAAGCATGTTTATTTATAGAGCTACTATAACTCAAATTCCTAACCTAATTGTGATTCTCATCTAGCCAGAATAATCTATGCTGAAATAGCTAAGTGAGTATGTCAAATCTCATTTTTAATAATGTTGTCTGCATCCAGTCTTCATGATTGAGACTTGCCAACCATTGATGGGATCAGACCATGGCTATCAGTTGTTCCGTGTGAAGTGTCCATTTATACTGTATCTCTTGCAAAATTTTGGTCTCCATCCATATTTTGGTAGGCTTGAACTATTTTCTTATCTATTGGGTCAGATTTTTCACCTATCTGACCTTCTTTCCTTTACCAATTGCTGGTCATGCTGGTCTTCTTGTTCTACTTGTTCGAGACAGATTCCTTCTTTCTCCCTTATCCAGTTAAGCTAGCAACTGTTAGTCCACATCTGGAGGCACAAGTTCTCCTTGATCCCATCTTCTTAGGCCATTTCAACCCTTGTTTGTTTGACTTGGCAGACTTTCAAACTTGAATTTGATCCACTCCATTAGATACATCCAACATATCCTTCAAACCTATAATCCTAAGCTAGATGATGTGCTCGACTTCAATTTGGATGCAATGTGATCTCTATTTTCTTAGACAAAAGGAGCACATTCTTTCATGGATAACTTCATTAAGGTTTATTCTTGTTTACTTATGGAATTTTTATTTATGATAAAGGAGTCGATTGTTGTTTTTCTAACTGATGTGCAGTGTATGCTATTAACAGAAAATACAAACTAACTTTACATGGGATGATGTCACAATTTCTCATGTCAAATCATAAAGTACTAGAAAAATTGGTAATCAAGTGGGAATTTTTATTGATTTGGACACCACAACATGCCATGGTGCTGAGTTCGAAGTGAAGGATTTTGGTTCTGTCATATTTGTCATCTTCTGTACCTATCTTTCATTTTGTTGCTGAGCTTGTCTTGAACAATTATCTCTTAGAAAAATGTGAAAATAATTCTCGCCTTAGGTTGGCATGGTTCTATTCATGACCCCTTGCTTGCTAGCAGTTTGCCATATACCAAGCTAGCATTTTGCCACAGCAAAACAATGGCGTTTGGCATATGGCACACCAACCAACATGGCAATTATTGATTGAAAGTTTTTCCAAGTTTTGTGCATATAGAGCCTGCTGTGTCTTATAGGTTTCAGATGTATTTGATAGTTGATACAAAAACAAGCATTATTCTTAGTTTTTGTTTGAATTCATCTTACCATTCATTCGACTTTTTTGCTTTTGCTATGGTATGAATATATCAAGCTAGACTCCCATTGTACAAAATAGAACTTCTACAGCAGATATAGTTATGTTGTTAATAACAAAGCCTTTTCTTAGGGTGAAAATGTACTGTAATTCATATATGGGTATGAGGGGATACTAAATTCTATTATTGTACCCACTTAAATTAGATACAGAAACTATTGGATCAGTGCAAGATGTCAGATCCACATAGGATTAATGGTGAATATAGATATAACAAATGAGGTGGGCATCTCACCAACAAATAATTAAGATGTTTAAACCTATCAATCATATGTCTGTATAAGAAAGCCTAGGAACAAATGTGTAAAGAAGAAGAATGAAAGAAAAGAATATGGGATATGGAGATAATCAATCAAATGTCATATTTTGAGGTAAATATAAGTAAATTTAAAGCTTGACATCAATTTGGACATATGAATATCCAGGTATGGCTAAGACTGGACCATTTTTGGCTCCTTTCTAACAATTAAATAATCTATTTTTTAAAAAAACTTTTTCATGGAGATCTCTGTTAGATTTTTGTGTCAAAGCCACAATTAACTTGTGTGGAAAGGTTTGGGTAGTTGATGTTAAAGTTGGTCCATCATACAACCAAATTAAAGCCAAATATAATATCAAATAAAAACTGGATTAGGACAAGGTAAAAGTCCCAAATTATGGAATCATTTTTAGTCTATGGTTATTAGGTCATGGAGTATACATTTATGTGAAGTTTTTTCAACTTCAAGGACTTAACTGTGATGAGTCTTCATATCCATCCTTGCAAGTTGTCTATGACAGCAGGCCATTTTGTGACTGGCCTTCTTGCCAATTTGAGAATCCAAACATATCAACATGCCCTAAATTTAAGGAATTCTTTAATACATCAACGTGCCGTAAATCTTGTTTATGTGCATTACCATTTAATATTATATCCTACTTTCTGAAAATGTCACTACATCAGGTTAATGTTATGGGATGATGTTATATCCTACTTTAAGGTTAATGTTATATCCTCCTATTTGTCAAAGAAATACATATTCTCTGGGAACACATTAATAAAATACAAAAAAGGGGTCACAGTTGATTCAGTAACTATGGCAATTGGATTATCTGAGTGTTACTTTAGATATCTTCCCAGGCAATTCATTATGAGACATGCCATTTGCTAACAAAAATTAAAATTAATTTTTCAAATCCTGAGTTTCAACCAATCCTAGATGTTTCCTCAATTATGTTGCTTTCTTTCTTGGTATCTGCAGAGTGCTCTCACCTGAATGGACATTGTTCTGAAAACAAATAATCTGCTTTTAGTCTTTTTGTTGTGAGACTGATTATTGTTTAGCTAAACAGCTTCATTTTGAGCAAGGGAGTCTATCAACTGTTCTTAGTTCCTTTTAGATACTCAGAAAAAAGATGCCAAGGGTTTTGTGCCGAAATTCTTATAATATGTCACAGATGATTAAGATACCTTGATAAAATGAATTGATTGGGATTTCTTTAAACTTAATAGATATTCCAGCTGATAAGGAACCACTGGACTGGAATACCCGCATGAAAATAGCAGCTGGTGCAGCAAAAGGTTTGGAGTACCTGCATGATAAGGCAAACCCGCCAGTTATTTATCGTGACTTTAAATCATCAAATATACTTCTTAGTGAAGGATATCATCCAAAGTTGTCAGATTTTGGGCTTGCAAAGCTTGGTCCTGTTGGTGACAAGACTCATGTCTCTACAAGAGTGATGGGAACGTATGGTTACTGTGCTCCGGAGTATGCTATGACAGGGCAGTTAACGGTGAAATCTGATGTTTATAGTTTTGGTGTTGTCTTTCTTGAACTGATTACTGGGCGTAAAGCGATTGACAACACAAGGCCTGCAGGAGAACAGAATCTAGTTGCATGGGTATGTTTTTCTTTCACTTTTTTGAACTACTACATCAAACTTCTGTGGCTTGATAATGGGATTCATGTGAAGGCACATTATGTAGTAGTAATGCTTCAAATTCTAATTCTCAACTTTAGATCCAAAAATTATTGCAGAATATAAATATGAAAATCTGGTTACATGTTGATGTTGCAAATTTCAGTTTCAAATACTGACGAGAAATATAACGTCTTATTCATCTCATGTACAGGCTCGTCCATTATTTAAAGAGCGTAGAAAATTCCCCAAAATGGCCGACCCATTGCTACAAGGCCATTATCCAATGAGAGGCCTATATCAGGCACTGGCCGTTGCAGCAATGTGCCTGCAGGAGCAAGCAGCTACTCGACCTCTCATAGGGGATGTCGTGACAGCACTCTCATATTTAGCTTCACAAACTTATGATCAGAATGCAGCAACTGCTCAGAATACTAGGGTTGGTCCATCTACCCCAAGGTCTAGAAGTGGTTTTGATAATCAACAAGCCGTCCATTCACCGCATCGAAATTCTCCAGACCTTAGGCAAAGGGATCTAGTCAAGGGAGTAAGTAAAGGTGCAAAACATGGGAGAGGTGGCTCCGGTGGTGGCTCTGGTCGTAAGTGGGGCTTGGATGAATTGGAGACTCAAGAGTCTCAGATGGATAGCCCAGTCCATGTAGGCAGAGCACGAGACTCCCCAAAAAACATTGACCGGGATGTTGTGAGGGAGCATGCTGTTGCAGAGGCCAAAGTATGGGGTGAAAATTCGAGAGAGAGAGACAGCAGAAAAATGCACTAGGTATCTTCAACGGAACACATGAATAGAGGTCCTTTCAGGTTCATACGCATGGATGGTGCTCTGAATGCCATACTTTCATGAATAGGAAGATACAGGTCAGAGTTCAGCTGGTCAGGGAACATAGAAAGACGTCACAGGTTTCTTTGTGGTACCAAATTCTTTTTGTGAATAAACCTGACGCCCTTTGACATCATTACTTGTCAAATCTGCTATATTCTCTGGTACCTTTTCTCTGAAAGATGTGATGTTCCTTATCGAAGCCTTGTTATTCGACATAGAAGACGGCATTGTCAAAAGTAAAAGAAGTCGCAGAAAAAGCATTCAAAATGTATAGAGTTGCATCTTAGAATGTAATCACGCGATCTAGCACACGCAATTGGTACGAGCAAGTCAGTGCTCATTCTGTGTAGGCCATACCACAAGATTCCATTAGATTTTTGTCCATAAAATCTGCACAGGAGTTTGCTTTAGACATCTCTCAGATATACCTGTTTCATGGGACTGTCTTTTCTCGGGTTGTATTTGTCATGCTTTTCGGAAACTGCCTTCACCCTGTGAATTCTCTAGCTGTTTATGGATTGCTGTTGTATGAGATGATGTTGGTTTCTTTTGTACTCCATATCGCTGGTTACTTTTTTGTCCAATTCTAGATGCTGTTGTGACACAGGCAAATTTGTTGAACAAGCATTGTGTCATTATTTGATCTCGGATCGTAAGGCTTTCATTTTTCTGTGTTTTGTCTGTCTTTCCATAATCTGCACCTGACTTGTACTTTTGAAGCATCACTATTTTGACATCTTTTGCTGTAGTCTATTTGGCCCTCTTAACTCCCAAAGATTTGATGGAGGAAGAACAGGACACTTTCAACTTGATGAATTCTATTTTGATCAATTTGACAGCCAAAGATGTAACATCGAAGACTGCACCAGAGCATGTTCTAATGTTGAATTGTTGTGGTTGAATTTGGAAGGGGATGATAACAGGTTGGCCCAGAGTTATGAACGCCCAACATCTCCCCACTCTGCTCTCACTCTTTAACTCCTATCGAAGGCTGTTCCTTTTACCTGTTATGTTTCTTTGAACTCTGGAGCAGCTTTTCTTGCCCAAAGGCATTAGGTGCATGGGAGTAAAAGGATCTCCCAAGCATCGTGGAGTGACGAGTGAATTCATTCCACCCATCTCTCTACTTGTCCATGTGGTTCTTCTTTTGGATTACTAGATATGTATTTTTCTTTTTCTTTTACCAATGGTAAGTGATGAGGACGGGGTTGGATTCGATTCCTCGACCTCGTCATCAGATAGTCAAAGTCAAAAACTAGCCGACGTCATCTCGCCAGTTGTGGTAGCCCCCATTAGCTTCTGTCGGTGGGCTCCTGCCATTACGCAGACGCGCGCCTGATTCTGTGGGTCGATTGCCTTTGCCCTTCTTTCTTTGTGCGGGTCCCACTCCGCCCCGACCAATCGGAAGGCTCGTTTCGGTTGTCGGTGGCTCGGCCGAGACGCAGATGCGGCCTGTCCCTGAGCCTGAACCTGTTGCGTCGACAAGCCACCGTAGGGGTCCGTCGTCCTTCTTCGCGGGCCCACTCGCCGACCAACCAGAAGGCTACCTTCGCGTGGTCGGTGGTCCGTTGTCCTTCATCGTCCTTCTCGCGGGTCCCATGCCATGCAGCCAACGGAGACTGCCGAGACCGCGGTCGCGAGCTGGCCCCCCGGAAGTGAGCCCGTGCATCGATCGATAAGCTACTGGCGGGGCCCATCGTCCTGTCTGCGGGTCCCACTCCATTGCAGCCAACGGCAAGGCTCACTCCGATGGTCGGTGGCTCTTCCGAGACCGCAGATGCGATCTGCCCCCGAGGCCTGAGCGCGGACAATCCGCTTGTGGGGCCCATCGTCCGAAAGTGGGTCCCGCACTTGTTCTTCTTCCCAATTGGCCCACGTGTCGAGCTTCTTGTATACGCAGTGCGCACGGTAAAAAATTGCAAGAGATTTAAGTCCCACCGTAAGCACCAAACACCAGTGTTATGTTATGTCACACATAAATGAAAACCATAAATAATCGATAAGTGAGATTTTCTTGAAATGTGACATTTTTTTTTTCTAAGGATATTTTCCAACCAATGTAATTAGTCATACATTTACTTGTGACGAGCAATCCTATCACATTGCATGCTCTCTCTCTCTCTCTCTCTCTCTCGCTCTCTCTCTCTCACTTCACACGTAGGACAAATAGTCAATTGGTCGATTGGTGCAATCAATGCTTCGATTGGAATGATCAGCATATTTGTTCTCAATATTTTAGAATTAAAATCAAGATTCACTTTTATTATCATACCATATTTTATTTAGTATAGTATACTCTATATCTATATTTTTAATATATAGTTGTTTATATTAATTAGATTATTGGTATCTATAGTATGTTGTTTTATTTTTATATTTATGATGTGTAATAATTTATAAATTTTAAAATTATCATATTTTATGTATACTTTATTAAGATGATTAGAACATTCAAGTACCCAAAAAATTGCAGAACTCCTAATCATATTAACTCAAACAAACATTTTCTCCCAAAATAATTGTTCTTTGGTCATAAAGCAATAATCTTATTAAGATTCTACACTCCTAATTTTAAATCTTACTTTTCTCTCTCTCTCTCTCTCTCTCTCTCTCTCTCTTATCATCATTCCTTACTTTATAAAAAATAAAACAAGGAAAAAGGGAAAATAAAAAAAAATTAAATTTAAGCTAAAAAATGTCTTCCATAGAAGATCCAAGAAGGCAACATCTTTATCCTACAGAGTAATTCTGTATCCAGCAGTTGGATCCATGAATAAAGCTTTGAGGTGATCCACTCAACTAAAAAAGTCCACAACAATTCCAGTACACACATTGGAAGCTAGTGCTCCATTAATGGAGTGGGCCAAAATGGGGAGCAGATAGCAGTGGTGTTCTCTTGGTTGGCACAGTGACAAAAGATCAAAAGAAAAGCCACACTGCTTTTGTTGGCATGGTGACAAAAGGAGTGCCAGTTTCATCTGCTGCAGTGTTGGTCACCAAAACAGGAGGCTTCTTAAAATTATAATGCCTTTTGTTTTAGGATTGCATTACCTAAATCACTAGTACAGAGAGAACAAATGGGAGGAGTTCATGTTCATTTACTGCATTAAAAGACTAGTTTTCCTTGGCATCAACAACATAGTGGCTTAATTTCCTTCAGTATGATTCCTCTCATCCATACTACTAATTGATTCCACCTCAACTTAGCTTCCTTTCTGCCATGAAATGAAGCAAAGAAATGCTTAAGAAATAGTTTATGTCATCACTTTGATTCTTTTCAGGTATGCTATATATTCCATAACCATGTACGGTTATGTTTGTAAGAGCTTCTTTTTGGTGTAAAAGAAATATTAAGAGTATGCAAGATGATGCTGATTGGCATCATTATCATATTGACCAAATGAGAGTGTCAGATGAACAAGAATAAAAAGAAACACAGTAGATTATTGTGCATATCTTGGAAGAACTGAGAGGCCAAGTTTGGAGCAGATTTGGCGCACTCCAATACCTCAGCAGCGTTTGGGATACACGGTGATCACCGCACGTCGGCGAGGTGGGCTGCAGATTAGCAGCAGTACCAGTACAAGAACAACAGCTATGAGGATTCCCAGGATGTTGATGCCGCCACCTTGTTCTTCCTGTTCACCGCAGCAAAACTTCCCCATGTTCGAGATCGAGAGAGAGAGAGAGAGAGAGAGAGAGAGAAGATCGAAGAGAATTTCAGTAGAATTGGCTGCAGAACTCGGACTAGTTCCTTCTCCTGACTCTTTCTTTAAGGCAGTGAAAGCCATGGAGTAGCTCAAACATCTCCATCATGCTCATGTGCTATAATTGTTCTTCTTGTTTGTGTTACAGAGTGGAGTAGACCACACAGCAACCAACCCTCCCCATCGCTACGACTTTGTGGGCCTGAATGCTATAGAAAGGTTGTCTTTTTCTTCAGAAAAGCTTGTGTTCTGCATCATCTTGGAGGCTGAACATTTTGGTGTTTTTGGTCATCTCTTCACTGTTTATGATCGTTTGCAAGTGTTTTGCTGAATGTGAAACAGCAGGGGTAATCAAAGCAAAATTGTGGTCAAACTAGAAAGCTCCTTGCAATGATTTAAAGTTGATGCACGCTCCACCAGTTGCTTTACTTTTGTTGCCTAATGAATTGTTGGTAGCAAAACCAGTACTGGCTACTGAAACACACAACTTACCTAGAGAACCCAGATAAGGGGATGACACTCTGCAATCACCAGCAAGATCTGATTTATGTCAGTGTTAGATTGACATGAACCAGAATTGTCTAAAATTCAGTAAAGCCACTTTAATTATAAAGTGACTTTAACTGTAAGGCCACTGTAAAATTCAATCGTGTGTGAATTGTTAGCTTTGATATCAAGCAGATGATGATATGAGGGTACTTTAGATTGTGTAATTATGTGATGAATGAAGAACAAGTGTGATATATGTGCCAGTGGCAAAGATAGCAAAGACAGATTGATGTATATGTACCATATTATGTCATATGGATTTCTTATCATGTAATAAATAATATATGTACAAACAAGAACAGATACACAAACTAGTGTTTACACTCTGTTTCTATTAGCAAATGTGGTGATCATGGTTTGTGTTCTCATAGTCCAAACTGGTGCAGCAGTCTCTCTCATCTTCCTCTCCCCTTTTTCCTTTCCATTTCTTAACCCTAAACAGAGCTTTGTTTTCTGTTCATTTCATTTTTTTTTTCTGCAAAGTTTAATTATTCTTATTGGATCATACTTTAGCAGTCTGAGATTTCAATGAGTAGAGCTTAGTTAGATCCACATGATCCGACAAGTACTGGTCAATGGAATTATCTTAGCCATTGCCTTGCGGTAGTGAAACCATGGTTTGAAGCTGCAGCTTATTCCGATTCTCCAAGCAACGAAGTTGACCGAGGAAAGAGAGGGCCTGTCAGAAAGCAGCAAAGTTGAGGAAGACGAGACAAGTTTCCTGTCCTCGAAACTCCATGGCTGCATGAAGGTCTTTCAGTTTCAACAGGATAGGATTGCTTCATAATCTTAACTCACAAGTTTCTGATGATATTGCCAAGCTCATCCATCATTTTTCATGGTGACAGGAACATTCACCCTCTGTTACTGCTTGCTGTTCCCGGATCAACATTCCCTCGCTCATCAGAAGAATCATTTCTGGTTCAGTTGATGTGACCATGCTACATACACTCCCAAGAACTGCCCTGCAAATGGTGTCACCACCCACTGGTACTCGAAATAAATACAAAGAAGAATGGACCAATAGGAGATGAGGAAGATGAAAGGAACACAATCTGATTGACCCAGTATGACAGCAGCGGAAGGACCACACTCCCATCAGCATTTTGACTCAACCAAAGAAGAATGGACCAATAGGAGATGAGGAAGATGAAAGGAACCCAATCTGATTGGTCCAGTATGACGGCAACGGAAGGATCACACTCCATCCTAAGCATTTTGACTCAACCCCTGCTCACTAGTTTCATCTTTTCTTAATAGATTTAGCTTCATTTCCGAGTGAAGACACATCAACAGCCAATCACCATGAGAAGTTCTTGGAGGACATGTTATTTTTCTTCGAAGGAAACATTGAGATGTGTTCTTGTTTGATTCAACAAATGGAGATTGCTAAACATTTTGTGCTAACTTGACTGACAAATGTAATTAGAAATCTATCTGATTCTGGATTGTGGTTTACACCATTTCCCAGAAACCAGCTTGCTTAAAAATTTAAATTTGAGATTTTGCAGGTCACTCAGAAGCTGTCAGGAATTGTGCTTTCAGAAAGTTTTGGTGTCAATTCTTCATGCGATTTCCATGGTTTTTTATCTTTCATGTTTGTTCATTGTTCCACAGGGTTGGGGAAAGCTCACTACATGGGTTCTTCTTGAACTCTGCACCACAATCTAACTATAATTCAAATCGGTCTTTAGATTTGATTCCGCCGACAAAGATTTCAACTCAATATAAGACGTTTTGACTTACCACCTGAACTCAACTCCCATTTCTTTTTCTGGTCACCTTCCCCATATTGTCTTCCCCTTCTTCTCTCTATATACGCATCAAGTTGCAGTCTTGGAGCGAGATTCTGCACCATTCCAAGTGTTTCTCGTCACAGGAATGGAGGCTTCCACTGATGATGATCGACTGGGCTTCGGGAAGATGGGACATGGGTCTGCTTGAATCTTTTCTCCTTTTTGATCGATTACTTCTTAGTTTCCTGTTCTAAGTTGGTGAATTATGTGGCTTTGGAACCTCGGACAGGTGCAAGCATTACAGGAGGCGGTGCAAGGTTCGAGCTTCCTGCTACAATGGGATCTTCTCCTGCCGCCACTGTCACGACGAGTCCACGGTGGCAAAATCTGTCTCACTCTTGACATTTTTAGCCGTTGTGTATTAGTATGGGGCTTGATCTTTTTCTATGGGCAATTTTGGTGATTGGAATCAGAAGGATCGGCATGAGATCTGCCGCTTCGATGTGGAAAGGGTGAGTTTTGGCTCCGTCTGTGTTCGATCTGCTTCTTCGAGGGGTGTGAATTAGGTTTCTCCTCTTGATTTGATTCCGCAGGTGATCTGTTCGATTTGTGACACAGTGCAAACGGTGAGTGTTGATTAGTCTATAATATGTATATTTGGTGATACAAGAAGAGTTTGGCCTTCATTGGTTATCCTACAGGTCGCACAGATTTGCTCGAATTGTGGGGTCAACATGGGCGAATATTTCTGTGGAGTGTGCGGATTTTACGATGACGATGTAATCTTATCGATTTTTGGCCAGTTTATGTAATTAGATTTCTGAATGATATTGATCTGATGTCAATGATTCTCGTACAGATTGAGAAAGCACAGTACCAGTGCAGTGATTGCGGTATCTGCAGGTTAGCCATAACTTCTATTTTCTTTGTCTTGTTGATGCCCACAGACTGTTTGATGGAATGACTCAGGTTGTTGATGCATGTCTGAGCAGAGTTGGTGGCGGAGAGACCTTCTTCCATTGCCAGAAATGTGGTGTGTTCATCTAATCTTATTCCCTGTTTCTTCTTTGATTTGAAACTCTACAGCTTACTGCAATCCATGACTTTGATTTGTTTCACTTTCTTTGAATGTTTCTCATCCACAATGAATGTTGAATCTGCATGAACTTGAGGAACAATTGGCTCATAAAAATTATTTTAGCTTATATGTGCAAGCCTGTGTGCATGAAGGGATCCAAATCTCTAGTGTCCTACATTGCACATCAGATCATATATTTCTCTGCTGACTATTAGATGTGCACACAGGATCCTGCTACTCTGTACACTTGTTTAACAAGCATTCATGTCTGGAGAACTCAATGAGACACCATTGCTCCATCTGTTATGAGGTCTGCCATAATGCAATTATTCTTTTGACTCTATTTATTTGAGGAAGCTTTTGTGTTGAAAACTTTGATGCAGTATCTCTTTGACTCCATGAATGAAACAACAGTGATGAAATGTGGGCACACAATGCATACAGAATGTCTCCATGGAATGTTGAAGCATGAAAACTAATCCTGCTCGATGCTACTAAATCTACTCGAAGCATAACAATGATCATTTATTTGACCTCATTTTTGGGGTGTCTTGGGATACAGATACGGTTGTCCAATATGCTCCAAGTCATTGATTGACATGACAAAAGTCTGTAGGAAGTTGGATGAGGAGGTAAGAGAAAACTGCAACTTTTCATACATATTATATAGGAATAGTTGAATATATATGCACTGAAGGCATTTGATCTTCTTTGCTATTTACTCAGAAAAAAAAAAGCTCTTGCAAATTTGAAAGTTCAGTACTGTTGGGATAACCCTCTTAGATTATCCTTTACACTGGCATGTTGTTTTGGCAAGCTTCTTATCCAGCTAGTTGAGTTACAGATAATTCTAGCTACTGTCATTACATAACTTGAAGTTGTAATTTTCCTTCTTTTTTTTTTTTCCTAATCTTCTGTTGTATGGTTTTGATTTACAATTTTAACATGGACATTTAAGGTGTATGACATGAAGATATTAGAAGATTTTTCACACAGGAATTCTTTTTTCCTTTTAGTCTCTCTCTCTCTTAAATTGATGTACTCTCCTAAATTGATATAAAAGAGTAAGGCATATACATACAATGACCTTGATTTCCAATTGGTATGCTAAGAAATTAAAGCATTGGTTTGCAGATAGAAGAAATAGAAATGCCTGAGGATTATAGATCAAGAAAGGTTAGTGTATTTGCATCTCCCATACTTACTATGGTGTACTTTCAACTTGTTGGAGCTGATTGATAGCCATCTTAACTATTCCAACATTTCTAGTACAATTTAACCAAATTTGACTAAATCATTTAACTTGCCATTTTATTTTCTGAGAACTTTTCCTGATCCTTTTCAAGTAAGAGAGAATTTGAAGACATGACAAACATATTTATTCTTTCTTAGTAGATGCTCTCAAAGCAGTACCTCTACTGGACTTCAGGCATACAGCAGCCTCTAAGCTTTCCTGTGCCATTTGGATCATGAAACCTCAGTTTCTTTCTTTGTAGATGCTCTCAAAGCAGTACCCTCTCCTGGACTTTAGGCAAACAGCAAGCTTTCCTGTGCCATTTGGATCATGAAACCTCATTTTCCTGTGCTTTGATTCTTCTCATGTTTGATACAAATGAGATTAAATTTGCAGTGATTTTGTAGGTGTGGATCCTCTGCAACCACTGCAATGACATTACTGAAGTCTTCTTCCACATTATTGGCCACAAATGCTGTCACTGCCAATCCTACAACACTTGCATGATTGCTCCCCCTGTAATCCATCAATGACTGGGCTCTGCTCTGAAACATTTAGGATTGATGAGCAACTCAAATGCCTCTGGTGGTGTCTCCTTTCTGATTCCAAGCTTAATTGATGTATACATACAAAATGTTTTGGATCTCCTGGACTAGATTTGGTTGTAACCATTTAGTGTACTTAGTACATTTGGATTACATATTATGGTGCATCAATGTTAATTTGCACAAACGATTGTCATGCACATCCATTATATTTAATGCATCTAAATCTATGACAATCAAATTTCCTTGGATCTATAAAAACACACACTTGGTAATGTGCCACAAGTTGTTCTCTCACTTATGGTTTTTGCAGGATGACAATAATTTGGTTTATCTGTTTGATCTTTAGATTAGTTTCCCACATTTCTCATCACATTCTATATTATTATAGTCTTATTCAGCTATTTTCATAAAAGCACAATGTATAGAAACAATTACCAACTTGGAACACAAAAACAGAAAAATTACCTTCCTGTGGTAATGCATTTCTGATCACTAGTAATTGCAATTATAATTATAAAATAGCCTATACATGAGGTTGGAGTTAATTAACCATGGATGAGAGGACAAGAACTTACTTGACTTATAACAATATGATAGATGCACTATTGTTAGCTTGAGCTTAAACCCCTCAGGATAGTGATTCATACTTTTCATACTTAACAAGTTAATCGGACAATAAGAACCAATACCGATCAAGATATATATATATATAATTTAAAATTCTCTCTCTCTCTCTCTTGAGGTTGGGTTATCCATTACCTGATATATATATGTCAATGAACAGTATGTTGTTGGGATCACTGTGACAACAACTCCATGGAAAGTACCAAGTCTTAGAAATATGGTAGAGCCCAAAAAAGTGCTCAGACCGACTCTGTCATAATACCAAGCCTGTGGTCCAGCAACCAACGCCACTCTTCTCATCCCGTCGTTTCCCGTGCCTCGGTTCTTAGTTTCCCATGCATCCGAACCGACTCGGCAGCTTGGCTTTCTCGATCATCACCGTGATGATGATGATGATGATGCGCCAACCAAATATTTGGAGTAGCACTCAGATAACGAAAGATATTATAGCCACAGGATATGATGCAATCAGTGAAAGAACCACCACCATCGTACCATTGTACCTGGTTTGTGGTTTGCATTCATGTTCTTGGATGTTCTTTCTTGATCTGATGTAGGTCCACTGAAGTAGGCGCCAGTACATGGCCATGTTCCCATTTTCTGTGTTGCTCATGCCGCTTGTCTCCTGCCTTTTCTAAGCCTGTGAGCCCAAATGGACGAAGGTGGAACGTGCACCAAAGTAAAAGGATATATGTGACAGCATGAGAGTTTACTAGCAGAGAATAGTCACACCTTTGAACAACATCTGCTGTATCTGAATCAACGTGGCTTTCACCAGATCACATGCATAAGGGAGCACATTAAGTGCCTTTAGTTTATGCACCTGAAAACCAAGAAAAGTGGGTTAGAAACAACTCCTCTTTCCTTTCTCTTACACATGCATCATTACTTCAACCTTCCTTTTGGCACAAACCAGATACCTTGTGTGGGATCTAGAAATGCAAAGCAGTGGGCAGAATAGGAAGGGGAAGAAGAATTCCAGGCATCAAACAACAGTCTTGAAGCAGCAGCAAAGGCTGTCAACCAAGTGGAAAACCATGTCAGGGACTCAATGATATCTCAGTAAACCAAAATAAATCAGTACAATACTATAACAAACAATTATGAATGCAACCATAAAGCAACTCACATGAACCATCCTGTGCTGCAAGTTAATTTCCACAAGATGGATTCTAAATAGAGAGAGATCATATATGCAACAATTGCATGACAAATTGCTCAGATTGAGAAACAAAAAGGAACACAAAGTAAACTGGCTGCAGAGGACTGGAACTAATAGCTATTTTGAACGTCTTAGCAAGAACAGCTCCCAACTTCCTAGAAACTAAGTAGGTCTAAACTTCAGAAAATTATGTTGCTAAAAAAGATGCTAAGATCACAAAACCTGATCCCCAAAAAGGTCAATGTGCTAATTTTCAGTAATAAAATCTAATCTGACGGATGATCATGGTAAGTCAATGCAGGTTAGCTCAAGGAAATTATCTAGAGACAATGAGCTACTAACAGTATGATGGAGGGAGGGGGAGATACGACACCAAAACAATAACCATAAACATAAAATTTGCAAAGCTAACCGTGTGCTTAGGATTTTTGGTGGACCATTAAGATAAGGTGTGATGGGTAAATGAGATCGTCCTGCAATGCTACATGACATATTTGACATATTACATCCATGATGTCATGCTGAATAGAATCCATACTCATTGAACATGTTGCAGGCAAGGAGTATCTTGGTGATAGATTTTGTACAATAGGATGCGGTAAGGACCACCAAAAAAATACCACTTGATGTCAAGAAATGTGAGATAACTTTAAGCATGGCCATGTCCAGCCTCCCTTTTAGTTTTGAACCTCGAAACTTCCCGGAAAATGATACATCCTGCCCATCTGCTGGAATAAAACAGAGACACTGAGAAAGTACTATAGAAGTTGAATATTATTGTGAGAATATGCGGGTCCAGTTTAATGTATATGTGCAGAAGCTTCGTTGATAAGAAGCCTTTAAGAATTCCATCTAGTTCTCTAACAATCCTTCATCTTCTTTTTCTTCCACCCATTCATGTCATCTTCTCTGGCTCCTCTTTTCCTCTTCTTCTTCACTTCTCCTTTTCCCTGCATTGTGCCAGTTTTGGCGAAAACAAAACAGATGAAAAGTTGCTGCAGCCAGCAGTTGAACCGTAGAGATGGCAAATAACGTTCACTTATAACCTGGCCTGGTCTGAAGAGGTCAGCCTGGACCAGTCTATGCTGAAGTGGAATGGGAAGTGAAAATACCACCCAATTCTTTGGCAGTTTTTTCTGATACTAGGTGGTAATTGGTTTTGGACCAAAACTACCTAGTTATACAGAGCAAAATCAGGTGATAACACTGGCTCTGCCCACTGCAGAATGTTTGAATTCAGTAAAACCAGGCACAACATTAATCAAAAATGAAAATTTTCTTCCAATAAGAATATACTCAGCAAGCTGAAAATAACTCTGAGGACTTCGTCAAGTGCAGAAGAAACAGAACAGCAAGACATTGCAGATAGCCCCTATACCTAATGAAGGCAGCAAGTAAAACCAAATTACTGTTATTGATGCAGTAACATGGATGTCTTAGCAAAAAACAGTGGCTGTAGTTATTTCAGAAACAAGATTCCAATTCAGTCAATACTTAATATTATATTCATGCTACGGAAAACATAAATATACCTAAATCACTAGTTTGCCAATACAGGGTCCTAATATTGTATGTACCACATACATACGTATAAGTAACTGGGCAATACACGATTGAAGATTCCAGGATGAAAGTCAACTACACCTTATATGACTTTTTTTTTCGCATTTTCAATTTTGAAGTGTGTTTTTCAGTGATTCAAATCAAGATTGCATGTGCCAGTTGTGCTGGTACATATCAGCTGATGCATGATTTGCCAGCAACTTATCATCAAGTGGCTCATGCCATTGAACTTTTTACACTTGAGGATATCAATATTCTGAGCATGCATTTTGAGGTAAAAGACATGAAGTAAAAAAATTGAGAAAGACTGTTAAGTCGCCATAGATAAGACAGGAACAGTAATTTCTCTCTGTCATGATCAAGGTCTAAGGACCATTCTCTCTGAGATCGTTGATGGAATTAAAAAAAATAAAAATAAGTGTCCAATATATCCACACATGTAGATCGTTAGCATGCTCAAAGCTCAATCCAGAAAATACAGGTCAACTGAAAATGCCCAAAATTAAAACGAATGAAATGCATAAATATATTGGTATGATTTGACATAGACGCAGAATACCATCAAACAAGCATTATTGGTTATAAAATGGCACAATTACATCACATTTTATATAGGATATCTTGGGGTGACATTATCAAATCCATCATATATCTCACTGCAACAGGGAGTCTTCAGATTATAAAAAGAAAAAGAGTGCTCCAAAGAGAATCTAGGGTGACACATTTCCCATCATTGTGGGATGTTTCGCTTCCTCAAGAGAGCAATTAGAAAAGACAGAAAACAGGTAATCATCTAGCAAAAACTACATAGGCCAACCAAACCCTTCAGTTGCTTCTTCATCTTTCAAGGTACCTTCTGATACATGGCCTATCATATATGGGATATTCAAACAGATTTGTCAACACCAAAGGACAAAAGGACACAACTTGAAGGCTGTCCTTAACCATATCAATCTGATCACATGGGTGAGACGATGTAGATGATTTACGAAAAAAAAACTTGAAACTAAAACTGAAAAACCAAAACTACTAACTAGTTGCAATTTCCAAACAAGTGGGTTAGTATAATAATTCCTACCTACAATGTCAATTGTTGGTGGGAAGCGTCTGCAAAGAGAACAAGTAGTCTAACCACTATGGATAAATGTTCATTGAATCGACCAGAAAATATGAAAAATGCTCAGACTAAGCCAGCTAGAGCCTCAGATCAGCGTTTTGGCACACTCATCCTTGCCAACAACAACACAGTGCGCAACTGTTGTTGGGGGTTCATGCCCATATCCATCATCATTGGCTAACATTAAAATGAAAAAAAGAAAATCGAATCATAAGATAAAATGATCCGACTTTAGTAAAATAGGGAGCACAACATAAAAACCACAGTAAAAACTTAAAAAAGAAAAATAAGAAATGGTGATCTGTGAAACTAACTTCATCAATGAGATAAAGACAAATGCTTCACAGGTTAATGAGAACCAGATTGGACCGCAGAGAAACAAAAGACAAAATTGAAGGCAGAACACTTGTCAATCCAAATAAGACCGTGCGGACATTCAATGCGATAAGAAAAATTGCTGTCCCAGAAAGCAAAAGGAACTGGGGAATTCAAATGATAACCATGAGTTGCGCAAGTGGAAGAAGAATTGGACAACGAAGAAGGAATAAATGTCAAAGAAAGATGATGGCTTTACCTCCGGCTTAGGGCTCTACCCCTTTGGTTTTGCCCCTTTGCAAAACCCTACCATGAAGGACGTCAATTTCTCGGGTCTGCAGAACAATAAAGAGGTAATAGCAAGTCAGAATCTTTCAATTAAATGCACAGGGGATCATGGGGCCCGCGAGAAAAGGAAGCCCACGTTACACCCCCCGTGCGTTCCCCTTTCCCATATCATTCCCTGATGCGATCTCGCTGTATTTTATTGCTTTGAAGTGTTCCCTTTCTGCCTGTTATACTTCTACATTTACTCGCACTTACTCCTGCTCAGCTTTCCTCTTCCAGTCTGCTGCAGCTGCTTGCTGCTCGCGGCATCCACACCACCGCTCTTGATCGAACACTGGCTTGGTGGTGCGGCGAATTATGGATTCCGGCAGGTGGTCTCTTCAGCTGTTCGATGTGATGCTCGTTGTAATTGCAGGTATAGTTTTTTGGGAATTGGGGAGGAGGAGGAGGACGCGGGCGGCAGCGGGGCGGCTGCCACCGGGGAGCGTGGGGCTGCCGGTGGTGGGGGAGACGCTGCGGCTGATCGCGGCGTACAAGACGGAGGACCCGGAGCCGTTCATCGACGAGCGGGTGCGGCGGCACGGGCGGCTGTTCACGACGCACGTCTTCGGGGAGCGCACGGTGTTCTCGGCGGACCCGGAGTTCAACCGGATGGTGCTGGGGGCGGAGGGCCGCGCTGTGGAGTGCAGCTACCCGTCGTCTATCTCCACGCTGCTGGGCGCCCACTCCCTCCTCCTCATGCGCGGCGCCCGTCACAAGCGCATGCACTCCCTCACCCTCACCCGCCTCGCCTCCCCCGCCGCCATCCGCGACGCCGCCCTCCTCCCGGACATCGACCGCCTCGTCCGCCGCACCCTCGACTCCTGGTCCTCCTCTCCCTCCTCCTCCCCCTCTCGTGTCCTCCTCCTCGACCAGGCCAAAAAGATCACCTTCGAGCTCACCGTCAAGCAGCTGGTGAGCTTCGACCCGGGCGAGTGGACCGAGTCCCTCCGCCGCGAGTACCTCCTCCTCATCGAGGGCTTCTTCTCCATCCCCTTCCCTTCCTTCCTTTCTTTCACCACCTACGGCCGCGCCCTCAAGGTACATCCGCACCATTCATCACCTACTCATATCAATCCAATTCATAGATTTACAATATAAACCTCTCCAACAAATCAGGCGAGGAAGAAGGTGGAGGCGGCTCTGAAGGAAGTGATTAGGAAGAGGAAACAGGAGAAAGCGGCGGCAGGGGCGACGATGACGACGGCGGCTGGAGGCGACAAGCAGAGGAAGGACATGCTGGAGGAACTGATGGACGGTGGCGATGAGGAGGAGGGAATGACAGAAGAAGAGACGGTCGACTTCCTGCTGGCGCTGCTGGTGGCCGGCTACGAGACCACCTCCACCATCATGACTCTAGCCGTAAAGTTCCTCACCGACCTCCCCCACGCCCTCGCCCTCCTCCGGGTGCGTTCCCGCCTCCCTCACCACCAACTCATCCTAAACACCATTATTAATGCTGTTGTCATTTCGTCGAGCAGGAGGAGCAGGAAGGGATCAGGGCAAAGAAGGGAGACGACGAGGAGCAGCCCTTGTCCTGGAGCGACTACAAGTCTATGCCCTTCACTCAATGCGTACGTCATTTTACTCTCTTCTCTCTCTCTCTCTCTCTCTCCTTTCAATCATGAACTCCATCAAACCCATGATCATCGTCTACCTTCCTTCCTTCGACTTCTTCCTTTCAAGTAGTATCGATACCAGCTTATCTATCGGAGATCGTTCTTCATCACCACCTTGATTAATTTCATGATCCCTGTGAATTTTCATCTAAATCGTAAATGACGCGATGACACATCATGATTATGTCATAGAATAATAATTAATTCTGGGGAAGTGTAACAGCATTTTCTTGAAAGTTGTGGATATCCTGTTCTATTATATTCCTAGTTAATATAGTTTATGTAGGAATATAAAATTAGGATTTGGGATTGGGTACTTCAATGATTAATCAGATTTAGAAATGGATAAAATTCATAATTATCTATTGTCAATTTTATTTTAAGGAGCGGATGACGTTTCCATCAATATCATACAAACAGCACAAATTTAAAGAATATATAAATTTTGTGGGGGCATTGCACTTGCATGAATCAACCTGACATTGGATTTGATATGAGCTTGACCGACGACACCGCATGTGAAGTCGGCACCCGACCCCGTACTCCGAATCGGACTCCAAAGCGTGGGTCCGATTGGATGTTGACCGGTCCACCGAAACCGGCATCGTGCTTCGCGCCGCAGTACGTGGCGGAGCACAGCGGCGGGTCCCGGCTGAGTAGGTCGGGGTTGCCGCCCAAGGCCTGGATTGTCAGCTGCAGATGCAATCTGGTCCGTTCATCATGCAACACAGCGCGCTGTTGAGACGAAACCTTTTTCTGTTTTGGACGGCAGGTGATCAACGAGACGCTTCGAGTGGCCAACATCATCAGTGGCGTGTTCAGACGCGCCATGACAGACATCCATTTCAAAGGTATACTACCTGTGCTTTTTCTCTCACACTAATCATCAACCTCTCTCTACGTGGAAGCCAAGAACGAAGGAAAAGAGAAAAAAACACGACTATTATTATTATTATAAGGTCAAGTCGTGAGTCCCGTGTTTCTTTAATTTTCGTGCAGGGTACAAGATTCCCAAGGGGTGCAAAGTTTTCATCTCTTTTCGTGCCGTCCATCTTGATCCTGAATACTTCGAGGATGCCCGGACCTTCAATCCCTGGAGATGGCAGGTACCGTTTCTCAACCTTTCGACGCTTCGTTATCAGGCACAGTTGCATATAAATATGCATAGATTACTCCATAGTCAATAATTTTATGTATTTGTCTTTCTAAATTTAGGTACTGTTTGTTTTATATTTTTAGTATTTTAATTCATATTGCAACATTAATCATGCTTAGTAGTGATTATTTATTTATTTATTTATTTATAAGGTGTGTTAAGAAGGCCAGTGGCCGCGACGCAGTCTGAGAGTTCACTGATGGCGTTGGATTTGTGTTTTGTGCAGAACAACGAGGTGGCGCAGCTGCAGCAGACCGGCGGTGCTGGCGTCTACACACCGTTCGGTGGCGGCTCTCGGCTGTGCCCCGGTTACGAGCTAGCGCGGGTCGTCATCTCTGTCTTCCTCCATTACCTCGTCACTGGCTTCAGGTACGGTCGCACCTACATGGCACGGCGGAGAACGTCGATGGCTTCCTCGCCTATAAGACAAGCACTGCCTGGCGTTTACTGAGTTGAGCTTCCGCATGCATGCGCAGTTGGGAGGAAGCAGAGAGAGATCGGCTGGTGTTCTTCCCGACCACGAGGACGCTCAAGGGCTATCCCATCAATGTCCAGCGCCGCGAGAAGGAACGACGAGGATGAACAGCTCCAGCTTCGTGCCTCTTCCTCCTCCTCCCATCAATGTCCGGCTGGTTGTACGTGCTGATAACCACGAAGAAGATGATCCATGTATGTTTTATCTTGGCATAGTGAAGCTTGTTCTTCCTGATCTCGTTACGTGCAGAACGAGTACCAGCGGCCGTATTCATACCGTATCGACTAAGGTCAAACCAAAACGTTGACCCTCAGTGATTCCCAGTTAGCCCAATACCGGCATGTATGAGAGGATTAGGAGTGGCAATGGGTTGATTACCCGAACCTAACCCATGAATCCGAACCGCAACACAAGTATATATATATATATATATATATATATATATATATATATATATATATATATCTTATTTCCTCTACAGATCTGATTAAATGCTACTTAAAGCCACTTTAAGTATATCAAATAGAGAAAAATCTAATCCGTAATGTCTCAATTATTTAGGATCGATTATATAGGTAAATAATAATAATTAAATTAAAAATATTAAAAAAAATTTATAGTTTTCATTAAAAATCTTTTTAGGTTTCATTTAATTATCCTCATCCCACACACAGTTATAATTTCACACTTTCTAATTGTTGTATTAGATCGCTTTAACCTTATATTCATCGTCTTAATCGATTCTGCTCCATTTTATTTCGATAATCAAAATAAAAATATAATTTCTATTAGCCTCACAAATTCACACACTCCTATATATAAAATGTTCATGATGAATTCATTAGAACATATAATTATGCACTTGCATATTTATTAATTACATAATCATGCAGTCTTCCAAAATAATTGCACTTCTGGTTTCTTTTAATTCGCACTGGTTGGCAACATAATTAGTTTCTTACATAGTTAATATTGCTTCTTCTATCATTTACTTGGTCAAACCCCCAGTCATCTTTGGAGCAATTAGTTGGCAACCACCTATTTCTTGATGAACAATTTTAAAGAACAATAAATGCACAATAATTGGTGAAAGAATTAATCAATAAGAGAAATTTGAGTACAATGTTTTATGTTTTAGAAACATTCTATTATATTGTGTTTTAGGTAAATTCACTATGTAGGTGATTTATTATCACGATCATGAGTTGATTAGCCTATTAATTTTATTAACGAATTAGGATAAAAAATATTTAAGTTAAAATTAATTTAGTATATTTATTAGACTTTTATAAATCAATCTTAATATTTATCGACTTCCGAGATAGATTTAAATTAGGGTGTGATAATCTCTTCAACATTATCTTTTACCATTCTTAATATTAACTCACCGTATAGGATAAAATATTTTTAAATCTCTTAAAATAATTTTTTAAAGAATAAAATATATATTTTTAGACAATCCGAGCTCTACTAATAATTATAGAGCACCATAACTCCATAAAATTAATATAAAGAAAAAAAGATTAAAAAATACAAAAAAAAATGGGCGAAAGATGTTTGTGAAAGGTACATGAAGAAAAATCTCCCAACCTCCCCCTATCGATTAATGACAACACAAGAACAAACTGTCAGTCATTCCACCGAATGGGTCGAGAGACACTTCCAGACTCTCTCGATGCTACCGCTGATGAACTTTTCCCATCCTTCTCTTTCAAATGTCTCTTTCCTTTTGCCCCCCCGCTTGGTCCAGTTCTACACACTCCTATTTGCTTCCCTCATCACCACCTCGATCTACCCACCTCTCAAGCCTCGCATTCCAACTTCAACTCAGTAGATGGGCCAAGAGGGAGAAGCAACAGCACCAGTGGTAGCTGTAGTAGAAGAAGAAGAAATAGGGCGAGGAAGAGGAGGAGGAGGAGGAGGAGGAGAAAGGGGCGGGACTGGAGAAGAAAGCTGTGATTATTGCGGGGCGGCGAGGGCCCTGCTGTGGTGCCGGGCCGACGCGGCGCGGCTCTGCCTCGCCTGCGACCGCCACGTGCACGCAGCCAACTCCGTGTCGTCCCGCCACCGCCGCGCGCTCCTCTGCGACGCCTGTCGCTCGGAGCCCTCCGCCATCCACTGCTCCTCGTGCCGGGCTCTCCTCTGCGCCAACTGCGACTTCGACGCCCACGGGCGTGCCGGGCTGCTGCACGACCGCCGACCCGTCGAGGGCTTCTCTGGGTGTCCCTCGGCGGGGAAGCTCGTGTCGGCTCTCGGGGTTGGCGGGGACGAGAAGGAGGTGTTGGAAGGGGAGGCGGATGACGTCGGTGACTACCTGGTGGAGGACGGGAGTGTGTGGGAGGCGCAGCCGGTGCTTAGCTTCGAGGATTTTATAGTGCCTACCACTGCTAGTCATGGGTTTCAAGCTATGGGGATGCCTCCCTTGCCAAAGGTATGTCAATCAAATCGAAATTGGTCTCTTTGTGCTGTTCTTTCTCATTCTTTTCTAGAATTTCATTGCTGATTTGCTTGTTTGATGACTTGAATTTACAGAAACAATTGCATATATGTCAAATTAATGTCTTATTTCCTGAAATAAAGAATTTCTTCCTCCTCCTTTTCAGAAAAGAGCTTGAATAGTAGTAGCATATAGCGAGAAAGCATGTAGATGAATCTGCATGATGCTAACGATACTAAGGAGACACAAAATTGGAAGTCTAAATAAAAACAAAAAATGATCGTAATTTTCTTTTTCTCATCTTTCACTGATCTTTCGGTTTGCTATTGCTTTTCTAATTTTGTATGGATTAGTCAAATTGTTGCACCTTAATGTTTTGGTGATGATGGAACAAGTTGAGTTGCAATAAGTGCTCACTGAGAAAGGATGAGCATGGGTACTATTCTGTGGATGATAGTTGACATATAACAACAGGTTGGTAACTCATCTGGTCCCAACAAATATTCCAATAAATTGTTGCATGAATTTTCAACTCTCTATCAGACTGTTCTGCAGTAAACTTTTGAATAACTTTCACATGTTTTGACTTATGGGTACTAACATTTAGGCCTTAATATATGAACGGAAATAGGACTTGCTAGTTTAACTTCATTCTTGTTTTTGCTGTATATACTATTAATGTTCTTAGTGTTGTTTTTGCTGCTTAGCTTCTAAACATGAGTCTTTTCATAGTCATTATTGAACAATTAATTCCAATAAAAAATTGTTCCATTTTTCTGATTTCCTAAAGAAATTTATGATTGATTAGTTTATCTAGGGTAAGATATTTACTTTTTGGGGTCTTCTTTTTGCAACAGCATCGAAATTCAACTTGTGGGAAACATAAAGAAGAGATAATTCAGCAAATTCGTGATCTTATAAAGCTTGAAAGTGGTACAAATGATTATCATGAAGTTGTTGCGCCAATAATGGAATCCTATGGTTGGGTTTCAGAACAAAATATTCAAATTGATTATCTGGGCCCCGCTTCAAATAATTCGTGGAATGTCGGCCCGGCTTCAAATAATTCGTGGAATGTCACAACTCCTCATGAGGTTTGCTCTTCCTTTTTGCATCTTTGGAGTGTTCTTCAGCTTTATTTGCAAACTTTAGACCCATGAAATGGGTCGAATTGCAGTATATGTTATTCTGATTTATTTTCTATATAGTATGTTTGTTAATTTTCTTGAAATGGTACCAAGAAATCTTGTATTTCAATTTGATGAACTTATCTTGTTTGCTTGATATCATGTGGTGCAACAACTCAAATTTGAAAGTTGAAAGAATATCTGAAGAAGACCAAGATCTTCTTGAAAGTTAAGATGTTATTGTTCCCTCATCATATGTTCCCATCTCATGACAATCAATCTGTTAAAGGAAAAATTCGAATAAATTTCTGATATGGAGATTTCTAATGTTTCCAGATTTTCTAAAATTTTCTGTGTCACTTCTATTATTGGAATTATTACTTTGACAGGAATCTATTTAAAATATCGCTAACTTTTTTTTTACTTCCTTAAATAGTTTTTTAGGGCATACTCTTGCTTTTAATGGTCTTGTGCAGTTACTTTGGGAAAAATATTAACATGTGTGAAGCTTGTGAAAATTTCTGAATGGGAATTGGAAGTCATGGGTTCATTTGTACCTTCTCTCTTTTATTATTAAAGATGCATATCTTAACTTTTTAATTATTGTTTAATAGTATATTCCTGGAAAGCCTAAATTTCTGTTTATGTGTTTTTTTATTAAATTATGTGACTGACTATATTATAGTTTGGTGAGAAAAAGGAGATCCCTCAGGCACTTCATTAGTCAGGCTGATAGCCAATATACATTACTTAATAATTTGTTGGCCTATTTCCACTTGCTTGTCTTTCTTATTGGAATAAAATTCAGTCCTTACCCTGAGAAATATGATGTCAAAATTTTCCTTATTAATACTAATGAAATAATATTTGGATTAGAATCATTGATATGATTATGCATAATTATTATTGATAAATATTATCATACATGGACTATGAATAATTCAATCTTATGAATAATTTTCCTTATTTATGCCTTTTCTTACATATAAAGTAAGTTGAGCTAGTGTAGATTGAGGCTAGTGATGCATAGAGAAAGATAATGGAAGAAAACTATACCTCCTGTGTATTTTTATTGGAATATTGAAAATTTTGGCCTGATTTAATTTTCTTTTTTGCATTCACTTTTTAATGTTGCTTTCATTTCCCTCTTTGCCTCTCTTTTTAGCTTCCCTCCTCTATTCTCTACTTCCTGCTGTTTGTTATGATATTTATTGACAAAATGATATTTATTTTCTTTTCTGATGTTATCAACTATTGCCTTTATTTAACTTAGCTTTCTGCAATTTCTTCTCCCTCAAGGTTTTGATGTGTGAATTATCTGCTTGTGCTGATTAGTTGGTGGTTTTTCTGCAACTGTGTTGAACAGATATTACCACCATCCTTTTATAACAGGACCTATTGGCCTTTATGGTTGTCAAATTATGCATAGCAGGAAACTATTAATTCTTGCATCTGTGCAAAAACTAGAGAAATTAACAGGCACTTTGAGAAATATTCAGAACAATGCCGTAAAAAATGTTTCTTGTTTAGAAGCGGTGATACAAACCCTTGTTTCTTCTTGCAGGATATTACACTTGAAGGTAACCAGATTGATTGTCGTGAAGCTAACACTACAATTGGCTTGTTAAATCCTCCTGGAGAATATCCCAGAACCTCTTCTGCTGTAAACTTGTCATCACTGAATAAGGCTGCTGAAGCGAATGCATGTAAAAGTCATGGCAATGATACAAACACAGACCATGTGGAGTTTGTCCCTCAAGATGAGATGCAACATTTGCCTCTCAAAGGCATTTATAAATTAGCTCGTGCGGACCGCAACTCTGTAATTTTGCGCTATCAGGAGAAGAGAAAGACACGAAAGTGAGTTTAGATTAATAATTTTTCTCTCCTTGTTTCTGGAAAGTAGATACTGCAGTTTTTCTGTTGATGAAAACGACAATTCCTATTCTGAACTTGTAGTTACTGCTACCTCGTTTTGCTTTTCTTGTCAACTAAGCAGATACAACAAGCTCATAAGGTATGAATCACGAAAGATTCGAGCTGACAGCAGGCTAAGAATCAAGGGTCGTTTTGCCAAGACGAATCCTAGTCAGTAAACATGGATGGGTGTTATGTCCAGGAGATTCATTCATGATAGCAACTGCACTATGGGCATTCGTCTCTTATCTCTACCAAGACAGTCTAGTGCTATCGAGCAAAAAAAATTGAACACTCAAGTGATTGTTTGTATCATGGCATGCATCATAGTTCTGTGAGCAGTTGAAATTTATGTAGCAGTGTTGACTATATTCTAATTATATGTTTTGTTGTAAGTACACCATAAATTTGTAAGGAATGATCAGATGTTTCTCAAGAGTAATAACTATAGAACATTTCCCTGAACCCCTAGAATTTGTGAAGGGCTATCATTTTGTTCCTGTGAAAATATTTGTGGAAATCGACGTTTTAAGTGGCAAGATGTAGCAGCGATCGACAGCAGAAAGACAGTAGATCAGATCAACATCAATCCAAATTGTTACAGAATTTGTTAACAGAAGAGGTAAATGTGGATGATCTTAAAATTTTTAGTGATATGTATATGTTCAAAAAATGTATTACTTCTTGAAGTTTGTAATTACATTATGTTTGTCAGTGCAGAACCCATACGATCCTATGTTGATCATGTACTTAATTATAATTTCTGTAATGCCTATCTGAAATCAATCAACCATATCCTATCCTAGAAATGCACTTATGCTTCTATGAGAATTCATGTTTGACTATGTTCAGCTGTTCCCACAAGCAAACCCAACACTCAAAATTTAGCTTCATATATATTCTTTTAATGCAATCTAGCTAATATTAACCATAATTAATAAAAAAATTAAGTATATTTTAGGTTTATATATAATTGAAAATAATTAATTTTCATCATAATCTTTTGGAAATTTCTATATTGCGAAAATACAAAGAAAATTTTAGGTATATATATATATATATATATAATGAGAAGTGGCTAACCCTATGTGAAGACCCTTAATATTTGGACTGGCATATATGCTGGAGGAAAGTATATTATCTATAAATTTTGTAAAATACAAGATATATTAAAACCTTATATAATACAATATAATATAATACTACATATATTTTAAATACTTTCATGCTTGCTGTGAAGTTTGTGGGGAATAAAATTAGATCAGATCGATGAATAGATTTCCATGTCGGATTCGGCCACACGTCATCTCATCCGAAGTCAAACGGTTTCCTGGCACGATTCGAATCCGAATCAGTATGGAATCCGATTTAGTAAACGAGTCTTAGATACGTGTATCCGAATTCGAGTAGGCTTCCGCCGCCGCCTCTGTCTATATAACCACAGCAGTAGCAGCTATACCTTCTCATCATCTCCCTCGAGCTCTTCCGAGACTAACCATAGTAAAGAAGAAAAGAATATGGCAGGGCCGTTCCCCCCGGGCATAAGGTTTGTGCCCACAGACCAGGAGGTCATCAGCTGTTTCCTCCGCCCGCTCGTCGACGGCCTCCCGGTGACACCCGGCGTCATCCACCACTCCGACATCTACCAAACCGAGCCATGGAATCTACCCGGTAAGCATGCCAATCTTTACTTGATCGATCCACTTCGTTACCAGCTTGATCTGCAAGAGATTTTGTGGACGGTGCAGAAGGCGCAGGCTACTACTACACGCCGAGGCATAGGATGAGCGCCGCCGCCGACAGAGGCGGCAGCAGTAGTACGTCAGCGCACGTGAGGCGGACGGCCGGGGCGGGCTTCTGGCATGGCAAATCTCCGCTTGTTCCAATCTACAATGGCGCGGAGGTAATTGGGCACAAGACGTCGCTGGCGTTCAACCTCAAGAATAGATCGACGGGGTTCGTCACCAAGACTGGTTGGTTGATGAACGAGTACATCCTCCACTCTCCCGATCGTCAGGTACGTATCAGAGACACGCTTGTGCTTCGTAGAACGTCTACTGTTCATCATAGAGTGATGCATGCTGCTACTTTGACGTGTGTGTGTGTGTGTGTATATATATATATATATATATATATATATATATAAAAGAACATTAGCTTAAACTCTTTTTTGTAATTTGTTTTTGTTCTTTTGTGGTAGAATGATCTGAATATAGATGTGTTGTTATAATATGCAGCTTCAGACGAGGGCCATTTGCAAAATCCACAACAAAAACGATGCCAGATTCGACTTCGATGAATAAAAGAGGACAGATAGATTCGAGAGAGCATATATACGTATAAATACATGCCGAGAGAACTTATAGTTTGGTACAGCAGCCGATGTTGGCATCATTGATATAATACTTGTGTATTTGATGTTATAGCAATAAAGATAAAACAATTAGCATAAAACATCTCGGCCTTTGATCAGACCACCAAAATCCTGCTTCAAAATATCAACTAAGATATCGATTATTGATGAATGTGTGTGTTTACACCAACCAAGACTTCATTGTAGTGCCTAAATCACTTCCTCATCATACAACATCATTATCAGAATTACCATCAAGGTTATCAGATGTAGCACCATCGTCCTCATGATCTACGAAGTTTGATTGCACGAATTGGTAATGAGTGATAGCTTCTTTCGCTTCAGCGATCAAAGCAGCTCTTGCGGCTTTCAGAACTCCAGGTTCTGGATCGTTACCGGCCTTGTTGTACATACCAGCAGCAACAGAGTTTGCTGTCCTAGGATGTGCTCTTCTTCTTGCTTCTCTGCAATGTAGATGGTCAATGTACTTCTCGTGCAAGGCCACGTTCTTAATCTGCTTCAGAACCTCAGGACTTGGATCTGCATTACTGGTCTTGAACCGTGACAAGAGCCTCTTATGAGCAGCTGATGTAGAGTTCTCACTGCACTTCAAGAGGAAACCAGCATTGGTAAACATACGATCAGGTGTTCCAGGGGATGTAATCTCGGGCAAATCTAATGCTAATGCACTTGGTGAAGTTTCAAGAACCGAGAAATAATCTGCTTCCTTGGTTTGATCCGCCAAGCAGTGCTGCCTTAGCAAGTGCCTCACTGTCTTCTGTGCAACAAGACTCTTTTGTTTGCCGCTCCTTGCCCTTTTTACCTTCAGCTTCATATTGTCCACAGATTTGTCTGAAAAGGTAACGTTTCCTATTGGAGACCAATTGCTTTTGATTGCTCTTGAACGAGGTTGATGCTGGGGTGGAGTTGCAATCTCTGTGTGGATTCTGTTGAAGCATTCTTGAGCAGATTTTCCTGGTACCTGTAGATATATGGAATATCACAATTCACATTTCAATTGAGAAAAAGTCACTTGTTAATCTGGGTTTGGAAACACTGTTACTGCAATGCCTAATAGCAAGCTAAAAATTACATGGCTAAGTACATAGACAACCATGTCCTTGTAATTATAAAGACTTCATAATTACAGTAACAGTGTTTATAATATAAAACCATGATTCATATGAACAATAGCAATTATTGGCATTCATGACTCAACTGTATAATTCGGAGTCAAGTGCAATACATCAATTTCAGTAAAACTGACAATTAACATTATATTTTGTTATGTTATTTGTTATGGCAGATTAAGGATGTATCAGAATTAACAGTCTAATATTGAACTGCTACTTCTGGTTTCCTGAAATGTAAGCATAAGGATTCAAAACTCTGAACACAGAGGTTATGCTGTTGACAGCTTGATTCACTGGAAGTGCCCACTGAAAATTTTAAAATAGAATTCCTTATGAATTGGACCTCACTTTATTTGTAATTTTGTTTGCACTGGATTTCACCCTTAGGGATATCCTCAATGGCTCATGGATTAAAGGGAAGTAGTGGATGTGGACGTAGATGTGAAAGCTGCATAGAGCTAAAAAATTAGCAAATTCACTTATTACTCCTATTCATCAATTAGAACAAAAGTTATGATTCACTAAAGGAAATACCCAGTAGACGAGGCTCTCACCAAGGGAGAGTCAATATACACAATCTTATCTTTAAATATTTAAAAAGACTGTTTCCATGACTCAAATCTTGGTCACCCAGGACACAAAGGAGCAATCTTACCCTTGTATCAAGGCCCGCTCTCGAAAGTTGTGGTTCACCATGATCATCAAAAAGATCTAAAACTTAGAACCAGATACCAGTTTATACTGGTACAGTTATTAAAAATAACATATTAAGCCTAAGGCTCCATGAAGCTATTGTTGGCACTATCATCTACAAGCAAACTTTGCATAAGAAATCTCCTTCATATTCCACATATGTCAAAGCCTTTTCCTTGTTATAATGCAGTAATTAGCACTGCCATGGAAAGGCATGATATATGATGCACTTCACCAGAAGGCCTAGTTATCATCTCAATCATGTAAGCCTGACTTGTTCCTCACAAAAATGAATTCTCCTGCATGATGTCAGTTCTAGTAATAGTTCTTATTTCTACTTTCTATGAGGAAAATCAGAACGATCCGGCATGCATCACTAGATACAATTTCTTATTTTTCTTTCTAGCTTGCTGTTCTCTTATTTGCCAGCAATGTCAATCATCAGCAAAAAGGAAAATGCACATGCTGTGCCAATGTGAGATTTTATTCCTTTGCTGGGAAAAGATGTGCAAAGCTTATCAAATTACTTTATTCAGATTATGAAATAAGTACTGTAAATGTGCTTCTTAATATATTCAAAGACTCTTTGGTGATAAGAAACTTACAAATTTCATGCTGTAAATACTTCATTGCTTCATCTTATATATTATAATTCATATATCTATATCATGGAGAAACATATTTATTATAAATTTCCTCTCTAAATATTGTGTGTGCATTTTAGCACTAATAGAAGTCACTATTTGGGGATGTAATGTAGCTGTGGGAATTAAACAAGAAGCACACAAGAAGAAGCAATTCTAAAATATCTAGTGATGAAAATGAATTAGGTAAATGCAGAAAGAGATTGTCAAACCTGGAGCTACCCAATGACATCATTTATTTGAAGGCAATGCTGACCTCCATTGAGATTTCAGCAAAGTAGTCTATTCAAACAATTTGAATCAATCAGTAAATCTAAAGGTTCTAAATCCTACAGAACAGCCTCATCAAGGATTGGAACAAAGATCAGCATAACAGATTAGTCGATCCTATTGCACAGTGTAGAACAAATTAATCGACGACAAGACCTGTCAGATAAATTTAGAGTCCGCCAAAACACAGAGGACCTGAAGCACAACAAGAAAATTGAATCGGAAAGAAGAAGGATTCAAGGAAAAATACCATCTTGGAGACCTTCTTCCAGAAATGTGGCGACGGCCTAGCCGACAAGTAAGCCTTCCGCAATGCCATCTCTTGCTCTTCCGTCCATTCCTCGGGGCCACAACAATGCTCCAATGCTCTTACCGCTACCTCCTTCCCCTCCTCCGCCCTCACTTCTACTTTCGTCCTCTTGTTTCCCCCACCTTCCTTCTCCGCACCCTCCACCGGGTTCCCTCCTCCGCCCAAATCAAGAACCCCGTCTTGCTTCGCGTGAACAGCCGCAATAGAGGCTAACCTCGGGGATCTCCTCGGAATCTGAGGCGCTCCGACTGGCTTCGAAGGCCGCACGTTCCTCGAAGCAGGAACAATCTCTTTCCCTCCTCCTCCACTTGACCCCATGTCACTCTCGCACTTCGCCGCGCTGGCAGCAAATCTGGGCGACCTTCTCCGGCTCTGAGGCGCTGCGTCCGGTGAGGCCGAGGGCAGCCGCCGATTCCTGCCGCAGGTCGGCGTCTGTTCTTTCTCCGAGGGCGCGGTCTTGGGCCGCTTCTTTTGCTGCTTCGTCTTCTTGCTGCTGCGCAGGGAAGTGGGTAGAGCGAGAACGACGGTTTCGTGACTCGTCTGGGATCGGAATCGAGGCGATCTGGGAAGAGGGTTTCGATGAGACCGGAGTTGACGGCCGCCGCCACTGCCGTCGACGGGGGTTGCAGTGGTGGCCATTTTCTTGGACATTTTCTGGGGCTAGAGAGAGAGAGAGAGAGAGAGAAGGGGGCGGGCGGTGGATTTGAACAGTTCAAACAATCCGGGTCGGTTTCGTTCTATTAGTCGGCCCAATTGGAGTTGGCCCAAATAGATCGATCGGCTCAATTTGAGTCGGCCTCATAAGCGTCGGTCTAAATATTTATTTAGGTGATATATATACCATCCAAAAATTAGAAATAAATTTTAGTTTGACATATACAGATATCCTTATAAACAATCTTCGTTGCTTAGAATCATTTCACAGATACAATAGAGATATTTTGATTCTAATTAATATTAATATTCTTTAAACCTTTACAATGATAGCATGTTTAATTTCAAGACTATACACATTAAATATTTTAAATAAAAAATAAAAAATATAGTAATTATTCCATTTATTGAACAGTAGCTTTTGTATTTTAACTTATCCTTAATGATTTATTATACCTGTATCAATAGTTATCTTGTTGGATGCCAATCCACAATTCATCCCCTGATTGCCCACTTGATGGTGTTGATTGTTCTTCTTCCAACAATTGGTGGATTGGACTGATGAGTGAAGAGTTTTGGCACTTTATGACATGCCCACCTTCCACTCCCATAAACACTCAAATGATGGCCATGGGAAGAAGCAACCCCAAATGTCTTGACATCAGGTCAACAGTAACAGCAGATTTCTCACCAGTCTAATTCAAGAATGACTAGTAAAGGTATATACCGAAATAGATACCTCGTAGGGGGATAAATGCAAGAAGAGCCTAAACAACAGTATCGCTGCCGTCTCAGTCTGGTGACGTGTCAGACAAGGTGCGCTTGAGGAGATTCCCTCCGGCACTGGAGACTGCCGTATAGCCAGTGTCGTAGCCGCCGGTGACGGTGCCCCTCCGCCTTCACCAAAAGCCGAAAGCCACGTATCTCCTTGGCCTTCTTCCTCGCTCTGGAGCCCGCCAGTCAACGAATCAGCTACCCGAGGGCAACTTTCCGTTCGTGAAAGTAACCGGAAGACACTTCGCCACGTTTCCCAAACCTTCACTTCGATCTCCCAATTGGTAGTCGTCTCTGTTTGGTGTTCCACAGCTGCTCAGGCGTCTGGAAACTCCCGTGTCGGCTCTGTCTGCCACGCGTCCTTTCCAATTTCCAATAATATTCCAGCCTTCTACCAAAAACCACCAAATTGCCGAACCTCTTCGAGGGAGATGATCCGGTGGTCGAGGGTATATATGTCATTCAACTCCAAAGAAAGAGGATTTGTAGCTCTGTTGCGGATTAGTTGCCACGTGGCGTTACTTTTCTGGCCCCTCGTCCGACGCCCCGCCCCGCCCCCTTTTTATGATCTCGGACAGCCGCACTCTCACAATTGGAACACCAAATCATTCCTATTCTGCTTCGGTTGAAGTAGTAGTCGGGGAAGATGGAGGTTGGTTTGGCGGTGAAGCGAGCAGGGGCGGCTGTGCCGGAGGCGTTGTTGCCTGCCCGAACCCTGGGCTTCCGGGATCCCATCAAGGCCAGAACAAGAACTAGCTGCGTCGGGTTCCAGCCGCCGGCGAGCGGGGCGTGGAGGAAGCGAGCGGTTTGGGTGGCTCGCAAGGGCGCTGTCCGGTCTGAGGCTGTCCTGGAAGAGAAAGCGCCGCCTCCCATGAAGAAGAAGGAGGTTAGTTTCGTTAATTTCTACCTTTGTTTTGTTGGACATATTTACTGCTTAAGATCGAAGATTAATTATGATTTTAATCGTAGATGTTATTTAGATAAATGCGATTAAGCGTTGCTGTCCAGATTATTGTCGTTGTTTTTTGATGTAAGCAACGGATGGTTTGGATTAATTTTGGTTTAGGCGGGCCCGGTTCGGCTGTACGTCGGTCTGCCGTTGGATGCGGTCTCCGACTGCAACGCCGTGAACCACGGCAAAGCCATCGCAGCCGGCCTCCGCGCCCTCGCTCTCCTCGGCGTCCACGGCGTCGACCTCCCTGTTTTCTGGGGCGTCGCTGCCGCCGGTGATTGGACCTCCTACCTCGCCCTCGCCGCCATGGCCCGCGACGTCGGTCTCCGCCTCCGGGTCTCCCTCCACCTTCACGCCCAACGCCGTCCCCGCCTCCCTCTCCCAGAGTCGGTCTCCCGCGCTGCCGCTTCCAACTCCGACCTCCTCTTCTCCGACCGCTCTGGCCGCCGGCACCCCGACGGCCTCTCGTTCGCGGTCGACGACCTCCCCGTCCTCGACGGCAAGAGCCCGATGGAAGTGTACGAGGAGTTCTTCCAAAGCTTCCGCTTTGCCTTCTCCAACTTCTTCGGCGCCACCATCGAGGTAAGCAAAGCCGCCTCCTTTCTTCGTTTCCTTCCTCATCCGGTTCGTCTGGATAAAAATCGAACCTTTGCCTCTTAGGACATCACCATCGGTCTCGGACCCAATGGCGAGCTGCGATACCCTTCTTTTCCTCCTTCCGGCAGCCATGGATTTACTGGTGTTGGAGAATTCCAATGTTACGACAAGTATATGCTCGCTGATCTCAAACGGCACGCCATGGAAGCCGGCAACCCTATCTGGGGCCATTCTGGCCCTCATGATGCCCCTGAATACAACCAGTCACCGGCTTTCGGGAAATTCTTCAAAGAGAATGGCGGCTCCTGGGAGACGGCCTACGGGCAATTCTTCCTGTCCTGGTACTCCGGCAAGCTCTTATCTCACGGTGACCGACTGCTCTCGGTGGCATCACAAGTGTTTGGTGATTTGCCTGTTGCACTCTCCGCCAAGGTGCCGCTTCTGCACTGGTGGCATAAAACCCGGTCGCGGCCGTCCCAACTGACGGCTGGGTTCTACAACACTGACGGTAGAGACGGGTACGAGGCGGTGGCGGAGATCTTCTCAAGCAAGTCTTGCACCATGATCGTCCCAGGCATGGACCTCTCTGACCGGGATCAGCCTCAGGGTGTGAAGTCCAGCCCGGAGTCACTGCTGTCTCAGATTATGAGAGCATGCAGGAAGCATGGGGTGAGACTCGCCGGCGAGAATTATTCCCTCGTGGGAGTGGGTACTACTGGCTTCCGAAGAATAAAGGAGAACATTCTCGCTGAGAATTCAAGATTGAATTCATTCACTTATCATAGGATGGGTGCTGAATTCTTCTCGCCGGAGCATTGGCCTCTGTTCACAGAGTTCATCAGGAGCATGATGCAACCTGAGATGGATTCTGATGATATTCCTAGCTCCGGAGAAAGGTTTTCAGTTATGGATGCAGTGGCGGCGGACGATCGGGAGATGCAGACAGTGTAGCGATTCTACTGCATCGAAATTGAAATGTTTACGTGTGTGTGTATGTATATATGTATGTATATAATTAAAATAGTATAAGTGTAGACAGAAAGGTAGAACAAATTAGTACCATAGACCTGAATGTCTGAAGGTTCATGTCTTGCGGATAAGAGGGACCAAACCCCACATTTACATCAGCCTGGTGCAATGAACTACATAATGTATGTATTATGGTCGATATGTTAATATTCTCTTGAACTAGAAAGAATAACATGTTGATATGAAACACTCGGCTGTGTGTGATCTGCTGTTCATTTATTTCACTGAGAGCATATGCAGGTGTGCATATATATAGATGTGATATGAGTTCACTTGCAGAATGATGGCTAACTATTGATACATCACACGGCATCGATGTCTGTCCCTTAGCTATCAGAAACTTTTTGTACAAATCAGGGCAATCATGTGGTTCACAGTGGGTGGTGGTCACCTGCATGAGAAACCGGTCACTACCAACTGTGGATTCACCAATGAATTGCCACCGGAGTACATTTGTTGGGTTCACGCAACAATTCGACAGACTGATTAGTGTACTAGTGATCGAGTAAATCTAGATAGATTGCATGTTTTGTATCTTCTGCAGCAAGCATGAGTATGGGAATCGAATTCGAATCAAAAAATAGAATCTCAAATATAGATCTTTAATCCGAATAGATTTATCAATAATTTGATTTTAAAGACTATACGGATTAAGTTTGGGAGGGTACTCTTCTTCGACTTGATTAACCGATTCGAACTAAACTGAATCAATTTTAATTAAAAAAAGTTCAACCCAATCCAAAACCTCGAAAGAGATAGAATGAATGATCCACCGAATAATATAACATATATCTTCCTAAGTTTATCTTCATAATGCCTGAGCTGAGGAAAGGATTAGACTACCAGTGGTGTAGTACAAGGGATCAAATCATGTACTGTTGAGGAAGATGATACCGAAACAGGCGGGGGATGATGGCGATGCTGTGGTCATAGATAAGAGATAAACACGAATCCTTCCAACTTGGAGGATGATTAGATTGGAACAACATTGCATGTGGTATCTATCACAAGATTGGAGCTTTCCCAGAGACATGGATAGTGCAATTACATGTGTGATCATCTGATGCCTTGTAGTTATGTTCTTGGACTAGCTGGAAAGATCCAACGACGGCTGACAAGGCTCTCGGAAGTAGTAACACTGTGCAACAAAAGCTTACAAAAAGAAAGCACAAGACAGTGGGGAAGAATATTGGGATGGAAAGGGAAACCCTTTTTTTACAGTAAGAATATTGATCCATATCAGAAATTAAAGGTCCAAAACAAAGCATGTTTTTGCAGAAATGTCACAAGATACACACATTTTACATAAATTGACATCAGCCTTGAATTCTCTTTATACAAAGTGGAACATTTGTTACATGGAAATACGGCATAAGCAGGCAGGGGAAGAGTTTGTAATATTTGACATTTGACATTGGAATTGTAATCTTTTTGCTTACAAATTATAGTTTCTAGCTCTGATGAAACTAAGCCAGGCTTGAGCATTGAGATGGATTTCATGGGTGCAGTAGATATCCAAATGCCATAGTAACTAGTGCCACGAATACTATAAACGAAAATGGAAAACCGGATTGAACGTTGACAACATATTTCCTTCTCAGCGCAGCCTGAAAGGAGAAAAATGCACCAATCAAATAGCAGTAGAAGAGAAACTTGAACCAACAAATATTCCCACAAAATGACATCATATATAAAAAAAGAATACTATTTGTGCTAATCAGCAGCCATTTCACGTACTTTTGGACTCAGGCTTCCCCGAGAATGAGAATGAGAATGATGCCTTGCATATTGAAGATATAGTGTATAGTTTATGAAGCAGCCAATTTGAAGCTTTAAGACAATATGCCCATGGTCTCAACATCATCAGATAAAGATGGAAATTTCAACAGCTGAATAAGCATGTCTATCAATTATTTGTCTTTCAACCAGCATTAATTGAATGGGGATGTTTGACACCTCAAACAGTTCCATACCCAAAATGGTTGGATGATTATAATAATATATAAATGCTAAATGGGTCTAGTCCAAATAACTTTTGAGCATTTTGGGTCGCTTGCCTTTGAACCTATGAAGTTGATGAAATAGTTTTCTTTAGAATCGGGTCATGTTAATTGATATCCTGCTACAAGTGTCTGCAAGGTACAGAATGAATCTACTACTAAGTATGACAAGAGAACTCAAGCAAAAAATAGGCTACCTACTGATGTGGATAAAGCGGGGTATAGTGAGTGACCTTGAGCAGGAAAAGAGACTGGAGACACGTGATAATGTGGAGCCACCACTAGTCTACTACTATTACTTTAGACTTATAATTGAACCTATCTAGTTTTAGGTTGATAGCTAATGAGTTAATTTACCTATCGGGCTTGAGAAAAGAACCTCGAGAATGCAGACTTGTATGGTAAAAAGGAGAGAAGATTCAGAAAAGAGATCCTCAATTGCATTCCACAGTTGACTCTTAAAGAACATGGTTAGTATGAGATAGGTGTCAGCATAGACCATGTATTGACAGATGGTTAATCTACTACAAAGCTTTGCAGCACAAAAAAGAAGTTTAGTTTACTTTTCTGCAAATATCTAATGGGTATGCAAAATATTTAAGCTCCATCTCGCTCCTACATATAAGATGTTCTTTATAGTATAAGAATCATAACCTTTTGTTTTCAATAAAAAAAACTCACAATTTCTAGTTGAAATTTATCTCTGTCTTGAATGGCTGCAATATTCTCTTCTCTCATACTTGTTATTGTCTTCTCAGCCTGCAAATATTTCCATCTCTTAGACTATATGGTAACATGTTGCCTAAAAAAGATGGAATTTAGCGT